TTGAAAAGGAGAAGCTGGGCAAAAGCCAGCTCGACCAGGCTTTAGCCTAGCGAGGCCAGCTTAAAGCCAGGCCCAGCCAGGCGTTAGCCTGGCGACGCCAGCTTAAAGCAAGGACTAGCCAGGCGTTAGCCTGGCGACGCCACCTTAAAGCCAGGCTGAGGCTGGCGTTAGCCAGGCGATGCTAGGCCTAAGGCCAGGCCCAGTCCGAGTTTTGGAGGTTTTAATTGTTTCCCGGCTTGACTAGGAGTTGACCTACACATTTAGGGCTTGTCCCAAACATATAAATAGACCCAAAAATGCCACTTTGAAGGACTTTTACAACCGGAGGCAAGAATAGCTCGTGGAACACTACTTATGAGTTAGAGATATTGATTTCTACATCTTTATCCTTAGTCTGTAATTTAATTATGAAAATTACTTTGGATATTTTTACTATGAGTATGAGTAGCTAAACTCATAATCTAGGGTTTTGATGGAACTTGTTAAAGGATGATTTTGTCGTTATGTTATATAGTTTTGCCATAGTATTCTCTCTATTTGTTCAACTACATGCTTATTGTTGTTGATTGAAGGGCCCTCAATAGACTGTTTCTATTTAGTGTGCATTACTCGGGAGAGAGTGCATATTTAGGTAGTTGTTGAACATCATCACTCCTAACGTATATGAGGGATCAATACGAAGGGTTTAAAAGTGGGATTAGGGATAACGAAACCTTGGGTGCGATCTAAGTGAGTTGTACTTAAAGTTAGCTAGCGTAATTCGGGAGAATATGTCTAGTATATTGTTATAATTACTCGGGAGAGAGTTACGACAGTCAGAGTGCTCATGATTAATAGAGAAGACTTAGGCAAATTTATAGCAAACATAGCGGAAAGAATTCCGACAATAGGGGAAATCAGAACCTTAGATCATTCCAATTCTTGTTTACAAATCGTTCATAATTAGTTCTTAATTACTGCATTTTCATTACGTAATAGTTAGTTAGAAAACATCCAATCTGTTACTTAAATATCTCCGAAGATTGAATACGTGATTTTGTGTAAGTCTGATAGCTGTGATTGATAGGTTAATTCACTATGGGATTCGACTCCGGACTTGTTAACCGGAATATATTTGCAGCGACCGCTTTGTCCTTTTTATAAGGCATAGTTGGGCGTGATCTCATGTCCAATGGAAGGTAAAGGTGAAGATAGCAAAATCTTGCTCCTGACTCCTATGTAAGATTCATTTAATCCTATTAAAAACTGTAGGAGTCTTTCATCTTGCTGTGCCTTATGATTCTTCACTTTGTCTCCACAGACACATTCACAAACATAGTTAAAGAAAGTACTAAGAGCATCAAGATCATCCCACAAACACTTCATCTTAGTGAAATAGCTTGCAGCATTAGAGTTACCTTGAGTTAATCCACTTAACTCTTTTTGTAATTGAAATAACTTGGCTCCATTAGTTTGACCATACCTGTATTGTAAATCATTCCATAGGTCTTTAGCACTTTTAGTATAAAGAACACTTTCAGCAATGTCCTTGGAAAGAGAGTTCAAAAGCCAATATAGAACCATGTCATTGCATTGACTCCAAGACCTAATGAGAGTAGAGTCAGATTCTGGAATGGGTAGAGTGCCATCCATGAACCTAGCTTGTTCTTGGCTGATAAAGCTATGAAAACAGCACGCCTCCAACCTCCAAAATCTTTTCCATCAAAAACAGAAGTAATCAGGTTCATACCCGGTGAGTCTGATGGGTGAAGAAAGTAAGGGTGAGAAAAATCAATCACAATGGTTGCAGGAGGTTGAGTTGCACCACTGGATTGGGGATCATCTGCAATAGTAGAGCTAGGAGCCATTGAAGAAGATGAGAGAATGATTTGAGCCTTGCTCTGATACCATATAAAAGCAGAGATGCAATTAAGAAAAATTTCTTCTGTGTATTTCGTTTCAATCTTGTACATTCTACTTATATAAACTATACAAAACAAAATGACAAAATCTCCTAACAAATTTGTACAGTATCTTTATTGTATTTGTCTCTTTAGAAAGGCTAAACTACAAAACTATACAAAAGTAAGTTGTATACAGCTATAGCCACATGCTTGGCACATGTGGAAAGATCTAAATAATATTCCTCTTGTTGGCAAATAAATTGTTGGATCCCTGCCACGTATTGCAATTTGTAGCCTCCTTTGACCATCACAATCTGACTTGTGAACTTAAGTCTTACACTTAGACTTTGCTAGTATCGATTTAACAGAGAGAATCCTTTGCTTTTCTTTTCATCTTTAGAACAATAAGTTTCCTCCCTGCTTGTCTTCAACAATTTGAGACCTGCTTGATCATGTTTGTTTTTAATAATTTGATCGTTTTTTGTGACTTCGTCAACACTTTCACCCTTTTGGATCGTTGAATATTGTTATTATCGCTCACTTTTATTGTCACCCGACCAAAGATACATATCATCTACCATAAAATCGATAAGCTTGTCTTTTGAATATTATTATTAGATAAGATTGACTCTATTTTACTTAAATCTAATTGGTTGAGCTCAGATCTAAATTTTTGGGTCAAACAGCTCTATCGAAAGCGATTTTTCTGCCTTCTTGAAGGTAGGGTAAGGTTTGCATACACACTACCCTCTCCAAACCTCACTTGTGGGATTACACCGAGTCTAATACTATTGTTGTGCTATATTTTCGGCATTTCTTCCTTTTACAATGTTCTCATGAAGTTACTCATGAATCAATGCTAAGTTTTCCAGATACATGAATGGATGTAACATAAGAATAACGCCACACAATTATTTTCTTATTACGGGCTCTAAAATAATTTTGTTCACTATACCTAGAAGCTCTAGAGTGTAGAAGTATCTAAATATTTTCTTTTGGACAAAAAATAGGAAGTAGAGAATTAGGCGGCACTTTAATCATTTAATTGACTGACATAAAGAAACAAAGTTTAAAAAACAACTTATTAGAAGGAATAACAACTTATATACTGACATTATTGATTAAGACAAAGAATAATACCCTGTATAACTTTTGTAGCAATCATTTAATTGTTAACAGCGTAACAAAAGCTACGATTGTTTCTTGATAAACATGATTAAATATTGTCAAATTATAATCTTATTCTGTGACTTTATGATTTGTCTTGTTTAATTAATCATTATAAGGGCGGCTTAATCTCCGCGTAATGCGGTGTCTGTACAGCTTAAAAGATGATTAGTCAATGATTACCTTGCAATTAAAAAGTTTAAATTAAGCACACGGGTGTATATATTCCACATTAGGTTACTGCACATTTTGGCAAAAAATACATTAACTTTCTTGATAGTCATCATATTATAAGATTTACTTTTACCATTGAGAAATGTAAAAGAATAGTTAGAACACGTTTAGCCTAGATATCTCGAGTTTGATCTGTGAAAATAAAAGCTTTTTTATAACTTTCAAATATTAAATAGTTAAATTGAAAAAGTGGAAAAGATTTATTAGCTTTACCCCAACCACTACAACAATGATAATGGTTTAATATTCACTAAACGACGATGCAAGATCTTTGGTAAGGATATTGATGTGCTTTTTGGGAGTTGATAATATCCAATTCTTTAAAAGAAAATGATGAGACATTCCTTTTCTAATCCATAGTTTAATATTGAGATAATGATCTGTGATCTTATTTTATTAATTCCTAATACAACACAATGATTTGTAGGGCCCATTCGAAAAATTACGGTTTCGCCTCGCATTTCTCGGATTATTTTGTCAGATGCCCTTTAGAATTTGGGGATGATCTTTCTAACAAACGATAGTTTTAGAGTTTTTTTTTATTTTTAACCCGCGCCAAAAACTATTTACTTTTGGTAGCCAAAAAAGTGTGTTAAATTTATATATTTTTTATAGATAACATAGAGTATATATATATCATTTTTTCGACTATTATTTCGAAAACGGCTATATTATGTTATTTTGTCACTATTTTACATGGGCCCATTTATGTGGGCCTTTATTTTGCCAAAACGCTAGAAAGTGAGCAACATGCTTTTTGGCCTGCCAATCGTTGCTAGCAGTTGATCTTCCCAAAGCCCCTGTTAATTGTGTATAAAAGATTTAAATTATATAGTACATTAGAATGTCCATATTTTTCAGTGCATTTTTAGCAATTATAATAAGGTTATGTTATGTAAGTTACCAATTTAGGCTTACGAAAAGGGGGCAGGAAAGCTACAACTGGACCTCATTTCAATTCAAAATGGGGGGGGTGACCGTAGCACCTTATCTTCTCATTTCATCGTTGCTCTTTCTTGTTAGGCCAAACTGTTTGGCTTTTCCCTACTTTGTGAAGGAAGTACAGAAGATCAATTTATTTTAATATTCTAAATCCTCGTGCAGTTTTTTTTGTTATACTAGCTGCAACAAATCGATTAGTAAGAAGAACTGATATCACTCACCCGATTGGATATCAATTAAATGGATGGATAGGCATAGCAAAATAGAAAGGATCACAAACACGAGAGAGAGAGAGAGTGAGCAAGACCGAAGAAACCCGCTGCTTCCATAACCATAAGCACTTCACTCATTCGTAAGCCCCTTAGATATAGGAACAACCCAAGACTTGACTTCAAGTTTTTATGACGACCACAGTTACAGAACAAGTAAAATCAAGAGCAGAATTTTCAAGTGCGCTACCGCTTCTTGAAGTCTGATAGCTAATAGCAGCCACTAGCGCAGACACTATTACCACTAAGAGTTATTTCCCGATAGCAAATTACAGTGCAGAACACTTACCGATGGGCTTGGGCCCCCACGTGCAATGCTAGAGCAAGATAGATAAAGAAGTGCTCTTACTTTTTCTCTTTATGTCTGTGATTCCAGCCACACTTTAGGGTGGAGATGCCGAAATAGTCAAAAGTAATGTACCAGCACTGAAAGTAATAGGTCATGGTAGTCCTATGGGATTTGTTTTAATGCACAAGCAGCAGCTCTAAATGAAGATCAATAATTTGACAAGATTCAATTCAGGCGCATAGCATTAATGATATTAAGCCCTATGCATCTGAATGTCAAATCCACAAAAACATAACGAACCTACTCCTCCTTCCACTAGAATCATAGGCCTATGATGAATAAAATATATGTAGCAAAGAAATTCATCAACTAGCAGCACAGAGATCAATCAAAACAAAGATTTGAGATCAACGCAATCCACAAATTTTCACGATTGATGGAGCACAAAAGAGAACTTTGGACATCTCTGACACAAATTGTTCAGACAAAAACCTTGTATTACTATCTAAAATTATGTAAACCCTGTATCTATGTTAAGAGATGAAATCAAACCCTTTAGCTTTGTAGGGCTTTAGCAGTTTCTTGTTATCTACCCACAAACTCCTCCAACTTTGCCATGCATGATACACGCTGCGAGCAAGGAAGCCAAGTAACCTTTAACCTATACAGTAATTAAAGCATATGTTAAAATAAAATTTCGAGTTTGATTGGTAAAATATAGTCAAGATAAATAAAAGAAAGAGCTTTTAAATTAATTTGAGTTGATAATTAAACAAACTAAAAAAGAACAAATAAACAAATGAAAAACGATTTTATGCTGTATAGGTTGGGTTTTAACCAGTTGCTTAGCCTAAATTGGTCCGCCTATTGTGATCCAGGCGAATTTTGGGCGGGTTATGATTAAGCACATTTATTCATTAGATTCACTTTAGCCCGCAAAAGTTAGCTCAACCTGCCTATTTGAGACCTTGAGCAAATTCAAAGCTTTAGAGTTCAATGGTGAAATATCATTATAACATATCACGCACCAAATACCAGCAGATGTACAAAATGAAGAAGATCAACAAGATGTATAATCTCGCGTTGAAGAGCTCAACAAAGGCTTAAGGAGAACATGTAATAATTCTACCCATTAATAACCCAGGAAATACATGGGATACTCAATCTTCTTCGTACAGTATAAAATACAGGGGATAACTTCACTCTTCTCAACTTTTTGCTGTAAAGGGTTTCATGAAGATTCACTATCCCTTGTTTCAAGAAGTGGCATAATGGGCATTTCAATGGCTATTTAATTGTACATTATCATATAAAGGCAATACAAATAACTTCTTAGAAAAAGAACGTTTAATTGTCTATTATGCTGTAAATACATTTGTAGATCTACAGATAGCAAAGTATAAGAGGCTAAATTAAGACATTCCACAACCAAATATGCAGTTTAAAATTCCACATATAGAGAGCTTGTCTCAGAAACCTCTAGTAGCCAAGCTCGCTTGACATATCTACATATGTTGCCAACATTGTTAATTGGTTTATATAAAGCATATAGGAAATACATATAGGAGTAATAAAAAATAAAAAGCTGAAGAAACAGAACTGTTGAGTGTTGACTAAACACATTTCCAAAAAACCCTTGAATACGAATCACTCTTCGAGGTTAACGGAAAATTTTATAGCAAATGCCTTGTGGATACGTAATTTAATTATTTTAGATGCAAAGCTACCGCAACCCCCCTCTTTATCTATTTTTGTGACCAGGCTATACACTGTGAACATAGGAACATAAAAATGGACCTAAATAGCCCCAATGGATGTAACTGTTTCATATAACCGAACCCAACTGTTTTGGAATTAGGCATAGCTGATTGATTCAAATGCCTCATGAACACAGTTAGATATGTCCCAACTACCTGGTAAAGTGAAGAACAAAAGTTTAGCCACTTCCTACTCCAGAGTTCCTTGAACATTTCTAGCACTTTGGGTATATCAACTCCTAAAGTCAAGTCTATGAATTCTGTTAAACTAACAGTACTTTAAACAACAACAGCTACTACTACTACTGCTATGCCTGAGTATCAAACAAGTTGGGATAAGCTATATGAATACTCGCTGACCACATTAATCCATTTAAACTAATCAGTATTTGAATCAAACGAACTGAACAATCAAACAGATTCAAAAAAGATTAACAGTTTGGTATATATCTCTACCTAATTCGACTCCCTGTTCTGCTGTCCACCACGAGACTCTGATCCTTCAAAGTTCCCCCAAGGCCATTGCAACGCTATAGTAGTAAATCTTCTCCCTCCTATTGCCCCACCACTTCCTCCAGAATCCGAACCACCACTGCCTCCCCCACCACTCGACTCCCCACCACCAGAATTATCCCTTCTTCCCCTATTCTCATAATCAGGATCATCTGTTGGCAACTCGTATCGACAAACAGGGCATGAATTATGCAACTCAAGCCACGGGAGAATACAACCCTCATGATAAACATGCTTACATGGCAGCTGTTTCACATCTAACCCTAGCTCAAAATCATCCTTACACACAGCACACTGTGCCAGCTCGGATTGAAGCAATTCCTCATTAACTTTAATACTGGGCAGCCCCTCAACAGCTGATTTCGATGCGGGTGGGGTTCCATAGCGGTTCGGGTCATTTTCCGCTAATTGTTGGATCAATTCTTCAAAATGTGGCCCAATAAAATAGTCCCCTATGTTCGCCGGTAACCCTAAACCGCTACCCACATTACCCCCTTCAATCACGAACTCGAAGTTGATACCACTAGCCCTCCGAGACGCTAAATGGGTCATAAGATAGCCAATCGGGTCGAAACCACCCGACCCGAGGATCTCGTCCCTAGGGTTTTGGGCTGAGGAGTGAATCCTAGGGTTTTGGGAGTCAAGAGAAGCAGTGGTAGAGCGAGAAGGATTGAATAAAGTGCTGAACAAGGAGTAAACCGGGTCGGGAAAGTTCGGGTATGGATCTGGGTCGGGATCCGGTTCTTCGTATTCTTCTACGAAGTCAGAGTTGCAAGTAGGACAGAGGAGATCGCCGGTCGGAGAAGTGATGATGGTGACGGTGTTGCTGCATTTGTGGCAGAAGTACAGAGATGCGCCGTCGCCAGTGACGGTGATTCCAGCGGAAGACATTTTTTTATTTTTCACAAGAGAAAAATGGAATATGAAAAGAATGTGGGGCAGTTGAACAGTCAATTATATATCTATATATATATATATATATATATATATATATATATATTAAAAAAATACTCATAGTGTTTAGGAAAATTGCAAATTAACCGACCTTAGGTACTTATTTCGAATTCTGGAAAACGATACGTATTCTTTTTTGCTTCAGATTTTAAAAAAGAAAATGTTTTTATGATTGCCAAGACAAAGAAAATTCAAGAAATTTTATGTAGTAAAAATTGTTATAGTACGTTCGGGTTAAAAAATATGCAATTTTCTTTTTGAATTTAATGTTTAAGGTGATAATATATCAATGATAAATACTGAGTACTCTATTAGTTTATTCTTTGCATTCTTATTTTTCAAAGTTAAACATAATTTGGGTTTTTACGTTTCGGTAAAAAATAAATATAACTGGAAATTTGGAGTTTTTGTTATTCTAGACGATTCTAGTGAATGACTAACATCTATTAATTGTAATATTGTTGATCAATTAATTTGCTTGAGTCTTGTATTTAGTTTCACATATTTAAGTTAAGGCTGGTCTTTTCCTTGACAATTAGAACTTCGAAAATACTAAAAGAATTTTATCATAATTTAGATCTATATAAAAAAATTATAGCAAAAATAGTTAATTTCAAATTATGTATTTTTATAACCTTTTAGACGCCTTGACTACTTATTTCAATTGTATAAATCTTTATTATCATGTCAAATTCAAGAAAAAAATTAACTAAAAATTTATTATTTTTAGCCATATAAAAAAATTTAGCCTAAATAATATATTTCTATCCAAGTTTTATAATAAATTGTATTCGAAAAAAATTATCTAAAAAAGTAACATACTTAAAAAGGTAAGAATATATTTTATTTTTCAAAACAAATGTCACATATGCAGAAAAATTCACGTAGCAGGCGAGTGCACCCACACTTTTTGCCACATCAGCATCCCAAGGGTTACTGACTTTCAAAAGGCCAAGTTGAGGGAGGTAATTAAAACCACGAATAGTTTAATACTGTAACTAATAATTCGCATCAAGTTTAGGAGAGCGATAAGTTATTTTGCCATATTATTATAGAAAGGTCTAACTGTATACAAAAGTGACGAAAAAAGCAATTCCTAGTTAGCTGGCCTCGTCATCATTCTAGAAGTCACAAATTTTATTGATTATGAATTTCGATGTTCAATATAAGAACTACAAACAAATTTTTTGGTGTTTTTTCCAACTAAATAACGTAAAGACTTTATTTTATTTTTTTACATTTTCAGCATATTTTAACCTTTAAAGTAGGAAATTTTCCATTTTTACTAGGTTATTAATTCGTGCTTTTAAGTAATCTGCTTATATAAATACAATTTATACTATCATTGCATAGAACTTAAAATATAGCTGTATAAAGATTAACCAATAAATAAAAAAGTTTGCAGGTTGTCATTTTTAACAATAAATTGTTGAAAATTAATTTTTAAACTAGGAAATCTGTCGGACTATTGTTTTAATGGAAATCTTTTAGCGAAAACTAAGTTTAGGATCAGATTCTAATTACGGAAGAGGATTAGGAAGGGGTGCAAATACCGATGGCTTTAGCTAGCGCTTGGACATAAATTTGATTGAAACTTGGAAAAAGATTTTTGAAGTCGTGTTGAAATTTTTTTTGAAAGTTGAGGTTGTGTGAGTGGAAGAAAAAATTTCACCAAAAAATTGCCCTAAACTAGTTTTTGAAAATTCATATTCATTAATAAATAATGTTTTTAATTTTTTTTTTTTGAAAAAATAAAACCAAAATCTAGGGAGAAATTAAAAAATAGCCAGATTTACAAGTGGTCATTCAGAAATAGCTACAGTTTCAAAAGTCATCGAAATTTAGCCACTTTTCATGTAAAGATAAATCTGAACGAAAAACTGTTCAAAATCTGAAAAATACTCCAGCATAAAATACTGTGATGACCCAAAAGGTTATCTTATGATTTAAAACCAAATTCTGTGTTTCGAGGTCTTAAAAAACCTCATTTTACATCCGAAAAGCTTTTATGTTAAAAGTTAAAGAAAATAATAATTTTTGCCTTTAAAGTTGATTTAGTTGACTTCGGTCAATATTTTGGGTAAACGGACCCGGACTTGTGTTTTGACTGTTCCAGCGGATCCGTATCCAAATATGGGACCTGGGCGTATGCCTAGAATCGGATTTGGAGGTCCCTAGATAATTTTTTGTTAAAAAAATGTGAGTCTGAAAATTTAATGGTTTTTAAGCAATTGTTAATGTTTGATTTTATTGGTATCGGGTACGTATTTTGGTTTCGGAGCCCGGTACAGGTTTAATATAATATTTAAGTCATGTCTGTGAAATTTGGTGAGAATCAGAGTTGATTTGACGTGATTCGGACATCCGGTTGAGAAAATAGAAATTTCAAAGTGTTCTTGAGAATTCCATTTGGTTTAGCGCTAAATTCGTAGTTCTAGGTGATATTGATTTGATCGCGTGAGCAAGTTCGTATGAGGTTTTAAGACTTGTTTGCATGTTTAGTTTGGAGCCTTGAGGGCTCGGGTGAATTTCGGATAGGCTACGGAGTGATTTGAACTTAGAAAATTTTGCTGGTGTAACTGATCTTGTTACAGACCTCTGATCTCGCATTTGCGATATCAGGCATCGCAATTGCGAACCCTGCAGGTTCCGCATTTGCGAGCTTCTCATCGCAAATGCGAAGAGTAGCTGGGCCAGGCAGACCTCGCAATTGCGAGGAATCCTTCGCATTTGCGAAATAAGGTTGCGAAGGCGGTGATCGCAAATGCGATCTTTTAGTCGCATTTGTGGAGACTCATATGCGAACATATCTTCGCAATTGCGAAAGCAGCAGAGATGTGAAGGATCTCGCATTTGCGATGGTACCTTTGCATTTGCGAAGCTCAGGTCGCAAATGCGACATCTGCAGCTGTGTAAAAGGGACTTAGACGGGATTTTTGATTCATTTCCCAAATTTCAAAACCTAAACCACAAGAGGAGATTTTTCAAAGACCACTTCTTCCCTAAATCATAGGTAAGTGATTCTTAACTCATTTCTTTTAATCTTCCACTTCATTTTACAAGATTTCAACCTAGGATCTAAGATTTTCATGGTGGAATTGAGGATTTTTGGGTAGAACTAGGAATTTCAAAAGTTGGGTATTTAGATCTCAAATTGAGGTCGGATTCCAAAACCAATTATATATCCAGGCTTGGGGATGAATGGGTGGATTTTCGTTCGAATTTCGGGTTTGGACCAAGCGAGCCCGGGTGTTGACTTTTGTTGACTTTTTTCAAAATGACCTAAATTTAATTCCTTGCTATCGTGGGTAGTTCCTAAGGCTTGAATTGAATTGTTTTGTAATTTGATAGATTATATTGGTTTGGAGGCTGGGTAAAGCGGTGGTTGAGCTTTGAGTTTGACCGTTGAAGCGAGATAAGTATTGTGCTAACCTTGGCTTGAGGGATTAGGTATTGTTGCCTATTTGCTACGTGTTTAGTTGTTGAGTACAACATATAGGTGAGGTGACGAGTACCTATGCGTTGTTGTCGAGTCATAGCATGCGAGTGAGTCTTATTCTTGTGATCGTTGTGTTCTTTATTCATATTTTTCATGCTTAGATTAGTTATTATTTATGTTGGGAAATTCTTATCATGTTTTATGGAATTGGATATTAATTGAGTATTGACTCAAAGTTGAGGTTGACGTGTGGAACTAAATGTTGGAAATCAGACTTGTTATTAATAATCATATCTCCCAGTTGTTATTGTTTTGTTGTTGTTTGGGTGAGGAAGAGTGTAAAGTAAGAAGGGTGATGACGTGCCATTTTATATTCATTATCATGTGAGGAAGAGTGTAAACACAAAGGGTGATGTCGTGCCATTTCATATTCATTATCATGTGAGGAAGTGTGTAAAGCACGAAGGGTGATGCCGTGCCATTTCATATTCATTATCATGTGAGGAAGAGTGTAAAGCACGAAGGGTGATGCCGTGCCATTCTATATTCATTATCATCATTTCTTTCATTTATTATGGTGAGGATGAGAGTAAAAGCACGAAGGGTGATGCCGTGCAATTGTTTTGCTATGTTTAATATTTCCATTGGTGCAAAGCATGTAGTTTGCTATGTTTCTTTACTGTTACAATTCTCATGATCTTGTACTCCCCTCAGCAAGTTTTCCCCCTCCCCTTATTAGTTGTCTAGCTTTTATTATTTATTATTATGCCCGTATATTGTTTAACTGCACAGGTTTATGTTGTTGCCTTGTCCTAGCCTCGTCACTACTTCGCCGAGGTTAGGCTCGATACTTACTAGTACATGGGGTCGGTTGTATTGATACTGCACTCTGCACTTTCTGTGCTGATTACGGTGCTGGACCGAGTTGATCTCAAGTTGAGCTGCTGAGTGCTGACTTCAATCCCACAGGAGATCCAAGGTAGATCTGTCGGCGTTCGCAGACCTGGAGTCCCCTTCTAGTTATTTCAGTTACTGTTTCTTTTATTCGGAAACAGCTGTATTTTCTTTCAGCAAATATTTGTTGTAACTCTTAGAAGTTCGTGAATTGTGACACCAGATTCTAGGTAGTTGTGCATAAATATTTGGGTTATTATGAACTTCCGTAGTTCTTTAGTCTGTTATGTTTTAAATTATTGTTATTTATCGAATTGCTTAAAGAGTTACCGTATTAATCTCAAATGGTTGGCTTGCCTAGCAACTAAAAGGTTAGGCACCATCACGGTCCTGACGATGGGAAATTCGGGTCGTGACAAGTTGGTATCAGAGCACTAGGTTGCCTTGGTCTCACAATTCACGAACAAGCTTAGTAGTGTCTGGGGGATCGGTACAGAGACGTCTATACTTATCTCCCAGACGCTATAGAGTTTAGGAACAAGTTCACATCTATCTTTCTTTGTCGTGCAAATTTTTTTCTCTCAATATTATTCGAACTCTTCTACTCTTGTTCTATCGCAGATGGCGAGAGCACGTACCGATCTTCAGCTGAGTAGCAGCCAGAGCC